CTCCCTCTCCTGCCGCGACACCCTCAGCGCCGCCGCCTCGGCCGCCGCCATGTTCACCCCGCACCGCCTCCGGGCCCGGCCCCGCCCCGCCCGATCCGCCCTGACACCGCCCGGGTCCAACCCCGGGGCCTGAGGGGGCGGGACTGTTCTCATCACTCGTGATAATTGAGAAAATTCTTCTTTGTAGCCCTCGCTGCTGTGGTGGTAATTAGTAACGTACCCGCCCGCCTGGCTCCCTGGCCGGTGAGCAATTGGGAAGTACCAATATCCACAGAATGGATCAGATTGGGAAAGGCCTCTGAGACCACCGAGTCCAACCCGTGACCGAACACCACCGAGTCAACCAGACCGTGGCACCGAGTGCCGCGTCCAGTCGTTCCTTAAACACCTTCAGGGATGGTGACTCCACTACTTCCCTGGGCAGCCCATTCCAGTGTCTAATCACCCCTCCTGTGAAGAAATTCTTCCTAACGTCCAACCTAAACCTCCCCGGATGCAGCTCAAGACTCTGTCCCCTTATCCTGTCCCTTGTTCCCTGGGAGCAGAGCCTGACACCCACCTGGATCCACGCTCCTGTCAGGGAGTTGCAGAGAATGAGAAGGTCCCCCCTGAGCCTCCTTTTCTCCAGGCTGAGCCCCTCCAGCTCCCTCAGCTGCTCTTCATCAAGCTTGTGCTCCAGACCCTTTGCCATCTTCATTGCCCTTTTCTGGATAGCTCATGTTGGAGTCCCACTTCAGTTTATCTAAAAATGCTCTTTACAAATCTTTTCTCCATAACACTCATAAACAAGAAGCTGAATAAACTGAGGCTGCAGCGAAGAATCGCATCACTAACTCTCAAAATCCTGATCATGCCATTTTGCAGAGCACATGACAAGGAGTTTATAACAGGGAGGAGAAAAAACACATCAAGAGTTTGCTTTATGTTCCCAAATACCCAATTTAGCATGTGTGGAGCTTATTTGTTATTAAAAACACAGAAAAGGAAAACTTTACCCATACCATTTATATAAATACATGCTTGCAAAGGACTTACATGTAAAATCACCGAAGTCTTGGTCCTTCAAAAGATTATTCAAATAAAAGAGAATGACAATTACTAGATACCTTAGAAAGACAGAGACATTGTCAGGGTGGAAAATATGGATAGCTAGTTAGTGCTCCCATGGCCCTGACAGTCTGTGCTGCATCCCCCTTCATTGTTATTATGCAACAATTTCCATGTCAAAAAGTGTGGGTCAGTTTGCATCATTATTTGACCTCAATGTCAAATAAACACTGCCAGAGCTTACTTGTAGTGGATGCTTCCTGGTTGTCACCACTTCTTATGAAATTAGGTTGTCTGAAACTAAGCAGCATATTTGCACCCATTGCAGAACTTGGCACCAAGGTAAATAATTTGAAGAGGTTTGAGTTGTCAGGCTTTAGGACTTGGAGCTGAGGAGGATTGTACAACTCCTATTGTGCTGAAATTGCAAGTCTGCCTCCCAAAATTGAATATGGCCAAAGATTCCTCCCAGTCAAAGGAACAGAAAGGTCTTGCTACCCATGGAGTGCCCATCTTCTGCACATGAGACACCAAAATGCCACCTCTCTCCCTTCTACATCACCTCACACTTCCCTACATGAAACAGTGGTTGTGTCCCCTCTAAATTATGTCAGGTTTTCAGTTAAAAGTGTCACCTCTGTCCCCTCTAAGTAATCCCAGATTTTCTGTCAAAAATGCTGCCTCTGCCTTCTCTGAGTTCTCAGACTTTCTCTCGGAAAGGCTCTTTTTTCCTCTCCAAAGTACCCCTGGATTCACCCTGAAAAAAACGTGATTTTGTTTCATTTAAATTACCTCAGCATTTCTGTCAAAAAAACCCACCGCTGCCCCCCCTCCCAATTTGCCTCTGCTTTTCCCAGGTTCATTCTGTCCTCTATATACGAAGTCAGATTTTACTCCCTAAAGCATCCCCTGACTAGCTCAGGTTTTACCCCAAAATTTTCTCTCCCTTTCCCTCCCAGAGGACCTCGATGTTACCGCTTTCGGTCAGGAGGTGTCACCCGCGAGTCACCAAACACTTGCAGTACCTCCACCACAGCGGCGATTCCAGTCCCAGCCGAGGTCCCGAGCTGGGACTGTGAGAGGGGACAGAAAAAAACCTCCCAACATCCAGAGCTCTTCCTATTGCCTTCATATCGATCATTTTTCCTTACATTTTTCAGCCCTTTGTTAGTTAATATATGTATATATATATTCAAAAGTTACTTTTGTATTCTCAAACCCTATAGATCCATATTCGGAATTTCTTATATCCTAAAATCCTGTATATAATATAGCAGGAATGGGGTTTTATTTTAAAATAATTTTATATAAATTAATAATATCTGTTTATATATATATAAATGAGAAACTTTAAAGGTTTTAGTATTTCACACACAGTCCCTATGAATTTTCTGGCATTTTTGGGTTGTAACCTCCCTTTCTGGGGAGATCCCACCTGACCCCCTTGATTCCCCGCTCATCTCCTCCTCCACTGCATCATTGCTCTCTCAGTGATATCGGGGTGTCCCAAATGTGATCATCAACCCCCAGGCTCCAATCCCCTCCCTTTTTTTCACCCTCAAAAAGGTGGACAGCAGCACGTCTTTAATAATATTGTTGACATATGTACATTCCCCCCCCCCAAAAAAAAGGGGCTCTGCTAGAAAAATAAAGACAGGGCAGCCCCCCAAAGGGTTGAAGTTCCCTTCCTCTCCCCCCAGCTCCTAGTCAGCCCCAGTGCATCCAGCTCCCTTGAAGTGGCTCCAGACCCATCCCAGTCCCTCCCCACTGCCCCCAGTCCCTCCCCAGTGCGTTGTGTTCCTTTTCCCTGTGCATCCCATTCCCATCCCAGTCACCTTGCAGTCCCTCCCAGCTCGCTCCCCAGTTCCTCCAGTCCTATCCCAGTGCCTCCACTCTCATCCCCACATCCCAGTCTCTCCCCACTTCCCCCAGTGCAACCCACCGCCCCCTTTCCCTCCCAAGTGTGCTCCCGCAGTGCAACCCAGTCCTTCCCCAGTTCGCCCAGTCCCATCCCAGTCCCTCCTAAGTAATTCCCAGTTCCTCCCCAGTCCCTTCCCAGTACATCTGTGCCTCGTTCCAGTGACAGCACTCCCATCCCAGTGGTCTCAGTCTCTCCCCAGAGATTCTCAGGCCCATCCCAGGCACACTCCCCAGTCCCCTCCCCAGTCCTGTCACAGTCCCCTTGCAGTCCCTCCCCAGTCCTTCCCCCATCCATCCCCAGTCCTATCCCAGACCCTGCAGTCCCTCCCCAGTCCTATCCCAGTGCCACCAGTGCTCCAAGTCCACCCCAGTGCCCACAGTCCCATCCCAGTCCCCCTCACTTCCCCCAGTGAAACACAGTTGCCTCCCCAGTGTGCCACCCCCAGTGCAACCCAGTCCTTTCCCAGTTCCCACAGTCTTATCACAGTCCCATCCCAGTGCCCTCCCCAGTGACTCCAATCTCATCCCAGTGCCCCTCCAGTGAATCCCAGTCCCTCCCCAGTGCATCTCAGCCCCATCCCAGTGCCCCCAGTCCTACTGTCCCCAGTCCCTCCCCAATGACCCCAGTCCCATCCCAGTGCTCCCAGTCCCTCCCCAGAAAATCTCAGTCCCACCCCAGTGTCCCTACTCCGAGCCCAAATCCCCCAAGTGCCCCCAGTCCCTCTCCAGTGTCCCCAGTCCCATCCCCATCCCTCCCCACTGCCCCCAGTCCCTCCCAGTGCATCCCAGTCCATTTCCCCAATGCAAGAGACACAGGGGGCATGAAATCCCAGGGCAGCTGCACTGAGGTTCTACAATTCAGTTGTTCTAAATTAGGTAATTTTCTTAGTGAGCAATTTGAGTTGTTTGACAGCGCGGACTGCAGATGGATTTTTCGGTGAACTGATTGTTTTTTAGTTTATTTTAAAGCTCTCCTAAAAACTCTACACCGGTGTGTGTTCACTGCACCTGCCGTGGGGGCTGCAGGGAGAAGCAGCTGGGGGGGCTCTCTGCCCCTTTCCCATCTTCCCCTCGGTTCCCTGGGACTCCAGGGAACCCCAGCTCCCCTTGGCTTCTCTGGGGGCCTCGTGTCTGCTCGGGGCTTGTTCCTCACCGTTCAGTTCCCAATGAGAGGGGAGCAAGAGGCAGAACAGCCACTGCTGCTGCTGCTGCTGGGGCTGCTGCTGCTGCTGGGGCTGAACTGTCTGCAGTGCCTGGGGGCCGGGCAGGACTTGGCCCCGATGCTTGCATTGCTTTGCAGCGGCCAGGGAGGGGTCCCAAAAGTCATCCCCCCGCGTGCTGTGCTGCACAGCAGGGGCTGGGTAGCCGGGTTCCCGGCCGGGGGACCCCGGGGGAGGCCATGGTGGGGCTGAGGGGCTGCTGCTCTCTGGGCCCCTCAGGGTTTGCCTTGGAATCCCAAAGCCTGTGCCTGCGTGGGGGGATGAGACAAAGGTGACTGTAAATTGGTTTGTTGTGGAGTGTTTTGGGGCCGAGTTAATGCTCTTGGCTTGTTGTGTGTCAATTCCCAGCCTCGGTCAGGGGTTCCCGGGGAGCGTTGCTGCTGCTGCCGCCGGGAGAAGAGAAATCCTTTGGGAAGCTGGGCTGGAAACAGCAACTCTGTGAATTGCTCAGCTTTTCCTAGGTAAGGGCAGGTTTTAGGGAAGAAAGGCCCGCACTTGCGAAAGGCGCCGCGGGTCTTGCAAGGGGGGGGGGGCGCGGCTGCAGTGCCGTTCCCGGCCGTGTCCGCCAGGCGGCGACTGCGAGGCCTCGGGGCCCGGCGCTCGGGGGGGGCTCGGAAGCGGCGCCCGCGGGGAGCGGGAGTGTTTTGTCACTCACGGGCTTCTCAGAGCTTAAATCCGGAGCCTGAGACGTCCTAAGGATGCCTTGTGGTCGAGGGAGCGTGTTCCTGCTGAATTCAGCAGGCGTTCGGTGAATTTGGGCTTCTGCGGGTGAATTCGGTCCGGTGGTGTGGTTTTTTGTTTGTCTCCGTCCTCGGGACAGTGAAGCAAATGTTCTTGACACCCCGGGGCAAATGGAGGTATTCTCCTGGTCAGCGTCAGGAACCATCCTAACTGAGGCCTGGGTGAGTGCTTTTTGTGTGACTGGACAGTGAAGCTGCCTGTGTGAATGACCTGGCTGTTGTTCAGTGTACTCCTCATTAAATGTCTTTTGCTCTGTGTTCCCAGGCTTCCTCTTTTCCTTCGGTTGCTGTGTGTGTGCCGGACACCTGTGGCAGGACTAACCCTATGGCTTTTCTGTCCAACGTGCTGTATGCCTGCAGGTAAGAAAAGCTGGACGTGCAGTCCCTCTGCTTTGATTGCTGTGTCTCTTTGGTAGTTCTTTTGGAGGGGAATCACAGAGTGATTTGGTTTGAAGGGGACCTTTAAAGGCCACCCTGTCTTCCGGGGGCAGGGACACCTTCCACTGTCCCCGGTTGCTCCAAGTCCCCCCCAGCCTGGCCTGGAACACTTGCAGGGCTGGGGCAGCCTCAGCTTCCCTGTGCAGTGTGCTCTAATATCTCTCCACTGTCATCACAATAAATTTTGTCAGTATGTCCCTTTCAGTTGAAAACCATTATCCCTTGTCCTATCGCTACAAGCCCTGGTAAAAAGTCTCTCTCCATTTTTCTTATAAATCCCTTTATTTACTGGAAAGATGCAGTAAAACTTCCCTGAAGTCTTCTCCAGGCTGAACAACCCCAACTCCCTGGCCTGTCTCCATAGGAGAGGCCTTCTAGTTCTCTGATGGTTTTGGTGACCTCCTCTGGGCCCCCTCTGCCAGGTCCATATCTGCCGTGGTTCCCAGAGGTGGCCGCAGTGCTCCGGGTGGGATGAGATTGGAGTACAAAGGGAGAATCGTCCTCCTCGCCCTGCTGCCCACGCTGGTTTGGATGCAGCCCAGGGGATGGTTGGATTTGTGCTTGGGAGTGCACTTGGGTGCCTCCTATCCACTTAGTCTGCTGGTTTGGTTATTCTCTTGGTGGTTTTCCTATTGGATAAGCAGAATAATTTAGGTGCCAATGGACATCTGGAGGTCATGGGGTCAAAACTTCCACTGAAAGCATTAAATAATCCATGAGACCTTGGTGTGAGGAAGGCTGGTTATATTAGATCTAACATATTGCCTATTGCTTATAGACCCAGTTATCTAAGGTGAATCAAGGTAGGCTAGTTTAAGCTTCTTCTTGTAAATACAGAGTATTTTATTCTGTTTTTTAATGTTGTTGATACTTTTAAGAGATTCTTCAGGATTTGTTTGGAGTTCAGCATAGCATAGAGCTCTTGATTTATTGTCTTCTTCATAGGTGAATTTATCTGTTGTCTTTCATGTCATCCCAGAGACTAAATACCTGTGGAACCATCAACATAGTTAGAGCTGTCATAATTCATGGTAAATGTTGGTAAAAGGTTTTCAAAAAACCTCTCAGTCCTTGTACCAAGGTCAAGAGCTATATCACCACGATAGGAGTGTGCAAACTGTGTCTTACTGCATATTGCATTTTCTGACATCAGTTTGAGCAAAAGATCATAGAATATATACACCAAAATGAATGTCAGCTCACGTGTCAAGGTAATTTTGCTTTATAGATGTTCTGTGTTATTTGAATTCATTGCTCAGTTCACAAATAACCTCTCAGAACCTAAGGTTTGAGTCAAATGCAAAATGCACAGAGAGTTGAAAACCAGGATCTGAGCGTCATAGAAAATGGTGACCAAACTCGAGTGGGTGTGTAGGAGATTTTATATCTTACATCTTGGAGGAGCATATTTTGTTTGATGATTGTAAGCAGGACCTGGGTGAAAACTACATTCTATTAGGTGCAGAGGAAAATAATTATCCTTTGGAGTCAAGTGTATTCAGTTTTGCACAAGTCTTGTCTGCCTTATGTTTAAATCGCTTTCTATTCTAGGAAGTTTAAAATTAAATCTTTATTTTGTGTCTCTCCCCCAGTATCCTGTACAAGACAAAGCTCCCTTTCATTGTAGTCATGAACAAAGTCAGTTAAAGCTCTGGTTTCTGTATCCTCATGGGACATTGTTCTGTTTAGCTTCTTTGCTGTGGTATCTTTGTCTTACCACAAGAATAGATTTTTCTAGAAAAGAGAGGCTGGGAGGGAGCTGCAGGCTGATAACCCAATGTAAAAAGGGTCTTTAATCTGGTGTCCAAGTGCACAAGAATAATCAAGGATGGGTAGTTGCACCCAAATGTTCAAATCAGAGACGGTGCTAACAATTTGAAATGTGTTTTGCAGCTTAAGCCTGGATGAAAGGGAAATGTAACTCTGTAAAGAAAGGGTAAGGTCATGGCAGAATCTGCACTTACACACCCTGTTTTCCCAGAATATTTGTCTTCATTAATAATGATTTCCCCTCAGCAGCAGGCTCATGACTCGCAGTGGCAATGGTGTAACCCCTGCCTGTTTGGACTGAGGAGTCCCACCTGTTGTAGCAGGCAAAACTTAGAGAAGATGTTTGGTGCAGTATTTGCTAGAGAGCAGATACTTACTGGTCTAAGAATACACATCCACTGTCGTGTAAGGAACTTGTAGCCTTAATGCTTTTGAGCTTAACAGCCATATCATTAAACATGATAATTTCAGATAGTAAAAGAATCCCGTTAGATTTTTGGTGTGAGTAACTGCTCTCCACAGGCATCCTTTGTGTTTGCATCCCCAACTCAGCAAGCTCTGTGTGTGCACACATGTGCCATGCTTTGACTGGGATATTTTCCCTCCCACCAGCCCGGTAGGATTAGTGTCTGCTGTGCTCCAACTCCACCCATCTGCCCTGTGACCCAAACTATGCGTACCTTTGGTATCTGCTTGCTTACTGAGCAACTTCTTGTACTCTAGACAGTAATATGAGAATGAGCTTTCTAGCTTTTGATTTCTGTAGAAAAAGGCATGAGGTAGGAAAATAAGTCTCTCTGAAGAAAATACACTTTTTGAAAGACTAAAGGAAGTGGCACTGTGAGTGTAAGGAAAGGTAGGCCTGAGGCTTAGGATTCGTAACTTTGAACTTCATTTTGATCTCATGTTTAGCTTTTGCTAAAAAGTAAAGCCAGTAGCATTGGAAGAATTTTTAACAAAATTTAATTAAATGTAATTTTTTAAAATTGACTCTTGATAAGAATGGAAGAACCCCGGGGAACTGGGATATATGTGCAGTGACAAACCCATAGATGTAAAGAATTTTAAGATTTGGAGAGGGGAACAAAGTAATTTGTGGAGGTGATTTAATTTTATTTACAGAATTTATTCAAGGTAACTCTAAGTAGTCAGGCTTTGACCCTTGGTGGATTCAGTTCCGTCTCAAATCTCTTGAGTAATGCTAGGTAATGCTTTATCTGTCTTCCTCCTTCCCATTGGTGAGGGGAATGAAATATATCAGTTTTAGGCACCTCATATTGTGCGAAGAGTGGATATTGCATGTGGCAAGATGTTTATGAAACTCTGTAATGCACTGTTTTCATATGAATCCATGTAAAACCGTGGAACCATCTCACCTGTTTGTGTCAGTTGTCTTGCACTGAGTTTAGATCATAACTTCTTTGGGCCAGAGCACAACTCACTTTCATAAAGATCCCGTGGGGTTCCCCAGCGTGGAAGTGGCCCTCGCTCCCCTGGCAATCTGGAAAGCTGAGGATCTTCAATGAGGGTTGTTCTTTCTGGCCTCAGTCGTATGATCTACTATTTACACCTTAAACTTCATTGTGCAGTGTACAATTGCTGGATGCCCCTTTCCAGTAAAACCACAGGAGGCTTTAGAGTTGCAATTGTTTCCTTAAAAACAACTGTTGCCTTCCTCAACCTGGAGAAGTGGTTGTTTGTCTTCTCTTCCTATGTTCATGTAGTTGATTTGATAAAAAGTGAACTTGCAAAACTTCAGACCAGGGCTGAATATTTTTAAAAGATCAACATTTTAAAAATAAATTTAACATGGATTTTTTTTCATTTGTCCACTTAACAGCCTAAGGGTAAGATTGTTACTTCTGAATATTTTCCCTTCTCCTTCCAGACTGACAGAATTGACCACAGTTTTGCAGGGGAATGGATGCAGGACTTTGAGACTTTTCAGGATGCCCTGAATCAAGAGACCACCTATGTCAGTAACCTGCCTCGTTCTATGAGTTTAGTGTTGGATGAATTTTACAGTTCATTGAAGGTAAAGGTCTTCCTTTTTTTATTACCTCTCCTAAAAGCCTGGAGAAGAGCAAGTTCAAGGAGAATTGTTTTGATGTGTGTAAATGCCTGTAGGAGGGTGTAAGGAAGGCGAGCAGCAGACTCTGTTCACTGGTGCGTGGGGAAAGGACAAGAGACAACAGACACAAGGTGAAATACAGGAAACTGTTTAAAAGGAAGAGAAGAAAAAATGCTTTAATTTTACTAATTCTGCACTGCAACAGATGGTCCAGAGAAATTGTGGAGTCTCCATCCTCGGAGATGCTTAAAACACTTTTGCTCAGGCAAAGTCGTGAGCAACCTGTTCTACCAAATCCTGCTTTTTGAGCAGGAGAGATTGGACTAGATGATCTCCAGGGGTATTGTCCACCCCCACCATTCTGTCCTTCTGTAAAGGGGCTTTGCACTGTCCTTTTGAACTGTAATCTGTTGATGACCTGTGTTGAGGATTTGCTGATTTGAACATACAATAACTTTAGCAGCTTGTCACACTGAATGGCAGCCTGAATAATTTAATATTGAACTGTGATTAATCACAAGATGAAAGCTAAGATAGGCTGATAAGAGGCAGTGTTCTTTGCTGCAGCATTTCCCACCTGAGGTAATTTTCCTTGTTCTGAAAGTGTCAAGTACAGTTGGGCAATGTACTACATAGGAAGAAGGGAAAGAATCTCAAAAACAAATAAATGAACAAAAAAACCCCTTTATATTTGCTTGTGCAAGAAGAAGATTGTTCTTCCACTCAACCAGGTTTTGAGAGGACTAATTAATTGTTTCTCTGACAACACTATACATTGGAGGCTGTTAATGATCCCATAGTCTGTGCTACAGGTTTTAGCTGATTGTGTTTGTCATCAGCTTTTACTAAAGAAAAAGCAAGCCTTCTTGGCTGTGTGGATATTACAGGAACAAAATTATTCCATTCATGGAGATAATGATAACAGAGCCAAAACAAAACTATTGTAAGTGTCCTATGTGGAACAATATACAGAATTTCAAAAGGGATTGTAGTGGTCCCATGTACAGAACTAACATACTTCCTGTTCCTTATTTGCTGATCAGGTCATATTTATCTGCCTGTCAGAACTGTGAGAGCACTGGATGGCCCCGGCAGATGAACCTTAGGATTAAAGGGTGGGCTCAGTTCAGCGCATGCTGTGTCTCACCTAAAAAATCCATTGCGCAGGCTTGAAAGGTAAAAGACCTTTCCCAAAAATCTTCGTTCGTGAAGACTGGCCATTATTTATATTAGGTGCTGATGGAGTCTGTCCTGTGTCTGGGATCCACAAGCAGCCTTCTGTCCCCTTAGGGCAGGTGTTCATTGCTCTGTTTCTGTGCACATAGAAACCTTACCTTTAGCAAGCTGGTTTGTGTACAGCCATTTCTGTTCCCTTCAAGGACCTGAAGCTTCTGCAATGGGTCCCTCTGAGCTAATACTAACACGAGAAACTCTCGATGAAGAGCAAGAAGAGAGGGAGAGTGACACTGATGACATTGACCATGAAGGTAAGGGAATGAGGTCTATAAGCTGCCTGTCTAGTCAAGAAATCCCCTCTATATTTCATGACCTGGATGGACTGTAAGGAGAGCCTAGAAAACGAGCCAACATTCAGTCACCTGATGTGTCAGAATCTGTAGCAGAAGCTCAGCTGCAATGGTCGGTCCAGGGATATCACTCTGTAACCTTTGTGAAAGTTCAATTGTAAATTTTCTGTTCAAGTAATTAATAGGTGTATAACACACATAAACCAGAGAACTTGTTAGGCTTGGGGCATGACCTCTGAACCTGATTGATGCACAGATGTGTCCATCATCTTTTTGGCCTTACAGCTTCTGCCCCTGGCTCTCTTCCCTTTTCCTGTGACTGTGGTCTTGGAGCAATCTTCTAAGTTGTTACAGAGTGATTTTTCTCTTATATAGCTCACAGACAATCTTCATTCTTTCCCTGTTCCGTTGATGGTAGGATAACTTCTTTCCTTTGCCCCGTAATGTAGTTGAAGATGGAATAGACTTTCTATGTTGCTTTGGCTATTCTGATTCTAGCTTTTTTTCAGTAACACAAGTAGAACAAGTACTGAAATAGCGCTGAACTGTCGTTTCTTCCCCCAGTGACTGAGGAGAGTCATGAAGAACCAGCCTTCAGAAACTTTATGCAGGACACGCGGATGAAATTCCAGAGGAGAAGCAACCCGAATGAATGAGACCTGCAGAAACAGAAGGTTTGGAATCACTTGTAATAGAGTTAAAACTGAAGGAACAGCATAAAGAAACTTGCATGGAACTTTTATCTGTGAACAACTTCCTCTGATAGATTTTTATTTTTCTTTCTGCAGTAACTGTTGGTCCGATGAGTTAAAGGTCTTGCAGCCAACTGACTGTACATCTGGCCATCTGCCACTGTGGCTTCCTGAAGCTGAAGGAACCAGAAAGCAGTTTCTTTTCCTGCAAATTCTTCAGATCTCTCCGTTGAGAGCTTAGATTTAGAGCTCTGACAGCATTAGCATCCAGAGTACTCACTGGTCCCCAGAGGCACCTTCCGTTCGCTGAGTGCAGTCAGGCATCTGCTGCAGCCAGGGCACAACTTGATTGATCCACCGTTTGATGTTTTGGTTTTCATTAAGTAGATTTTACGTACTTTACATACCTGGGTGCGGATCAGCTTCATCATCAGCGGGCACTGCGCAGGAGAAGGTGGGCAACAGGCCTGGGGCGGGCAGGGGGATAGAGGTGGGGGCGGGCACTTAAAAGATTTCGGCCAGGGAGCTGATCTCAGCCAGCACCTAGTCGGGGCAGTCTAAGTCCCCGTAGAAGCAGAACTGCTGCATGGGGAGAGGCGGTCAGAGGCGCGCTGCCGCTCTGCGTCCTCCCCGCTCCCCGCCGCCGACTCCCGGCCCACCACGTTGCCGCTGCTCCCCGGTCCCCCATGCCGCACAGTCCGCCTTCGCGACCCGGAACCGCCCCGTGTGCCGGTGGGGGGCTCCCCGAGGGGCTCTGCAGGGGCCTTGGGGCCGGGACCCCGGGAGTGCGGCCCGACCAAGGGCAGGGCCCCTCCAACACGGCCGTTGTCCCTCCGCCCGACCACCCGAGCGCCTCCCGCCACCCGCGGCCACGGCCCCGCGGGCTCCAAGCCCCGCCAATCCCGGCCCGAGGCAGCGTCCGGCCCGCCAATCCCGGCCCGCCTTTCTCGGCGCCGTCCAATCACGGCCCGCCTTTTCAATGCGGCAGCGGTCCCGCAAGCTCTGCCCGCTCAGCCGCGGCGCGGCCCCTCCGCGCCGCCCCCTCGTTCCCCTCAGGCGCTGCTGGGACCACGGAAGGGCGGTGGGAGCTCCGCGGTCACGTCCCGTCCGGGAGCTCTCCCGGGAGAAGGGGAGGGAGGGGGGGAGCGGACGGGAGCGGCCCCGAGAGCGGGGCTTGCGGGGATAGCGGGGTTCTCGGGAACGGGCGGGCGGGGATTGGCCGGGCTGGCACGGGGGGGCGGGGCTGTGCGGGCCGCGGGCTATAAATAGCGGGGGGGGGGTGCGCGCTAGGGCAGTTCGGCGGCGGAGGTGGAAGCGGCGCTGGAGCTCCGGGAGCCGAGGCGGGATCGGCGGTGAGCTGGGGCGGGACTCCGGCGGCTGCCGCTCCAGGTACTTGGCCTGCCTGGGGCACAGGGGCCGCTCTCTCCGGGAGGTTCTGGCTCCCGACGTGCAGGTTCGATCCCGACCCGCCACTCCCAGCTCGCTTTTCTCTGCTCCGTCCAATCGCAGCCCACCCTTTCAATGGGGACGCGGTCCCGTAAGCTGTGCCCGCTCAGCCGCGGCGCGGCACCGCCCCCCTTGCCCACGTTCCTCTCAGGCGCTGCAGGTGCCGGCGCCTTTGCTTCCGGAGCCGCGCCTGCCCTGCCGCAGCCCCCGACAGGCCATGTTGGGACCAGGGAGGGCGGGTGTCACAGCTCCGCGCTCACGTCCCGTCCGGGAGTTCTTCCGGGAGGCGGGGAGGGGGCGGGAGCGGCGGCGGCCCTTTCAATGGGGCCGCGGTCGAGCAAGCTCTGCCCGCTCAGCTGCGGCGCGGAGCCGCCCCCTTCTCCACCTCGCCCCCCGCGTTCCCCTCAGGCGCCGGTCTCGGCGCCTTTGCTTCGGGATCCGGCGAAGCCGCGCCTGCGCTGCCGCGGCGCCCGCAGGCGCTGTTGAAAGGGCGGGTGGGAGGTCCGCGGTCCCGTCCCATCCGGGAGTTCTCCCGGGAGAAGGGGAGGGAGGCGGGGAGCGGGCGGGAGCGGAGCAGCCCCTGGGAGCGGGGCCTGAGGGGACAGCGGGGTTCTTGGGGACGGGCAGGGCGGGAACGGGTAGGCGGGGATTGGCGGGGCCGGACGCTGCCGGGGGCTGGGATTGGCTGGGCTGGCACGAGGGGGGCGGGGCTGTGCGGGCCGCGGGCTATAAATGGGGTGGGCGGGGGGCTCTCGGGGCAGTTCGGCGGCGGGGCTGGGGGCGGCGCAGGAGCTGCGGGAGCCGGCGCGGGATCGGCGCGGCCGCTGGGCCGAGGAGCGGCGGTGAGCCGGGGTGGGACCCTCGCGGCTGCCGCTCCAGGGAGCGGTGGGGAGCCAGGGGGCAGCACCCCCTCGGCTGCCGATCCAAGGGGAGCCGGGGTCGGTCCCCCGGAGCTGCCGATGCAGGGTCTTGGGCAGGCGGTGTCCCGGGACAGCTGTGCCGGCCGGCTTTGGTCAGTGCCCAGTAGGGGAGCAGCCCATGCTCAGGGGTGCTCCCCCGATCCAGAAGGACTAGGATGCAGCCTCTCAGGGGGGCTGGTATTGAAAATATTATTACAAAGAAAAGTAATAAAAGATGTTTCATTCTATTATAATTTTATTTTACTTTTATTTTCATCTGATTACTTGATTGTTTATGCTATTGTTTTGTTGCTGTGGTACTGTTCCCGTTGGGATGGGTGGGACAGCTCCTAGAGATATTTAAGTGAATGACAAAGACTGACTTGTAGCCTTGTCAACAGCCCCGGACTGCAGAGATACCCAGGAGCAGCTTTAGGCAGAGGCAGCAGAAAGCTGAGGCAGAGACAGCAGAAAGCTGAGGCAGAGGCAGCAGAAAGCTGAGGACCTGGAGCTCAGGCAGCAGAGCTGGTGGAGACATAAACACGGTAGGGCTGTGGGCAAAACCAGAGTGGGGCTGGGTTAGGGAGCACGGACCTGGCATAAGCACTGCAGGGATGGAGCTGGGACAAAAATAGTCAGGCGTGGCCTGGAATGTGGGATTGAGAGCTCGGGTGGATAACTCAGACCTTTAACAAAAGAAGGATACTAGGATTGGAATGTGCAGCAGCTTTACCTGGAGCTGACATCAGAGCTGGCAGAGAAATAAAGCTGGTGGGTCTGGGTATGGGATAGGCAGAGTGGAGCTCGGAAAGGGACTGTGGAGGAGGGATAGGGAC